TTCATTAAGTAGCCTCAGTAGTATGCCTACTGAGAGAAGAAATGGTAGGCTATAACAGTTAGTTAGTATCTCACCATGAAATAGCTTTTATGGGTTGCTTTTCGATCTTTAAAAACAAGTTGGAATCATCCAATCAATCGACCTTCAAGTTTGACAGGCATTACAAATTTAGCGCGAAATCAATTTTTTTTTTTTTTTTTTTTGCTAAATAAATGCTTTGTACTTTCTATAACATGTGTTGTATAACACTAGTTAGTCGTACAAAATTTTTTACTATACCACCTGCATGCACTATGAGTACAAGTTAGGAACTTGCAGACTAATGTTATATCTTACTTCTCTAATACACCAACGGATGTCTTTAGAAACTAATTATGTTGATTTGAAAGCAGTTCCAAGACAAAGCACATTACCGCAGCTTCCTTAAGCCAAGTTAAGTGAAGTAAATGTGAGGCTGAGAGCGACTCGAAAGTTGGCAAAGGGTTTGTTAGTTGAATTTTACCGTTTTCCTTATCATTTCGCAACATGTAAAGAATAACAAGTGCGATCTTGTTTCTAATATATGTACGAAAGAGAATGAAAGAAAACTTCGAAGGGCAGTTTTATGGTCGTGGAACACCAGACCAACAGAAAAAAATAAGAAAAACTTGATTGTAACAAAAAAATATGTTTATGAATAGTCCTTTCTTTTTGTCCGATTTCAATTAGACATAGGCCGCGAAGTCCATTTAACTGCAGATGCTTCACGAGAATCGCCCCGGTTCTCTATTTTTAAATCCATTTTACCAGCACTGGAAAGTATGCTTAATAAGCCCTTAAATATTGTTATTCTGTTTCCTTTCCCCCTTTATCGCAAAAGAAATCTTTTAAAAAGCCTCTCACACAGTGTCACACTTATCCTTAAGTAAAGTATTACCTTTCAATGAGTTCAACCATTGATATGATTTAATATGGACACCATCATAATCGTAGTAATTCCTAAAGGTTCCTGAAAAAGGCGTGACGTAGGGAACTCCAAGCTTTGTTTTAAAGTGTGAGGAAGCATGGAAGTCAGATCGGAATTCGGAAGCCAATTATCCTTAATAGTGTAAAGGTATGGCTTCTTTCACTGCAAGCAACTTTTGGTTAATGAAAGATTTCGATCTGAGGGCGTTTCCATGCATTTTATTAAGATACAATTTTAGTTCCTTCCTCTTAGACAACTTATGTAAGTTTACAGGTTTCAGAGAAAAGATACCAAAAGCAGTTATTCTACCCTATACCGCCTTTGGTATTAAGTTTGCCCATTTATCGTCGGTTGACAAGTAAAACGTGTTAAGTGGTTTACTATATTCTTATATGCAACACCCATTATTATTATATCAATAATTTCAAAATAATTTTTTTAAATTTAGCTTTGTCTGTCCGTCTGCCTTTTGATCTGCATTTCTGTTTGACTACAGTTTACGAGATATTTTGGGAAATTTTTTAGCCCTCAAAGGGAAAATGCCTTTAAAATGCATCCGCATGTTCCAAAATGATTTAGTTTTTTTAAGGTCGCCTTGGTCCAACTTATTTTAGTGAAAAAAGAAGAGTTGCGTAAATCGAACTCCCATAAACAGTGTTCTATATCCTTCCACAACGGCATTGATTATTTTTATATTGGTAATATATTAAGCCACTTTTGCACACGACCTGAATAAGTCCTGTCGCTAAAGGCTGTTTGGCCCGCATAAAATGAACGGCAGCGATCCGAGTTCAAACTGTTCGTTTATATGAAATCAAAAAATTAAGAATTATTTGGAAACTCTTTCTGCTTAATTCTCTCTCAGTCGTTATCAATCGACTTTTTTGTTGTTAGTTAGCGACACATGACGATTTATGTCTTTTATTAGATACCAAGTTTAAGTGACAAGTACTTTTTTCCAGTCTTTTTTTATTTTGCTTTGTATTTTTGCCGCTCTTCGATGATAATGTCTGTACATAGCATTTTCTATTGACTTAACAAATTATGCGATTAATATACAATAATAAAATTGTGTTTACTCTCATACTTGAGAAAACATGAAATTTGATCTGTGCCATATAAAATGTTTCCTTAAATTCCGGTCACGGTCAGGTGATATTCCACAAGCCATAAGCTGGAGGATCTCTTACATTTTTCAAAGACTTTGTCTCTTCGGCTCGGACTAACTGCGAAAGGACTTTTGTGTTGGATATCGTTCATCATCATCTCACATAGCTTACAAAGGCCATAAATTACCGATTGAAACAAACATCAATCATTGTCTGCAGGAAAGGGTGAGGAGCAAAGCTCAATGCTACTAACACCACCTCAAAGGTATTTGAGGTGCGAGGGTCAGAGATTGTCATGCTGGAAAACAAGGTCGTATTCCTTTTTCGTATACTGCGCCAAATTTTCATCTCAATGACATCAGTGGTTGTCGATAGTTTTCCTTCATGATGCTTGAGTTTGGTTGGAATAACTCAAAAGGTCACGCAAAGTGGAGAGACTTGTCCTGGAGACTTGGCTATAAGGATTCAGCTGTAATTTCCTTCGAAATAAATAATAAAAACAAAATTTACTTAAAATTCCAGATAACTTGACCTGGACAACATACTTACTTCCATGTAAAACTTAAATAGATTAATTTTATATAGTTTGGCCCATATTTGTAGAAAAAGAGTAACGCCTTTCCTCCATAATTTAAACAAAGTTATATGATAAACTTCCATCAAAAATTGTTACATAAGGATTTAAAATCATCAACGTTACACCAGCTTGACGCGGGCTTTTGGCTCCCGATATCGAGTAAATTCGATCGTGATTTGAATATGTTGCTCGACAAGCAATTCCAGAATCACAAAGCCTTCCATTTGATTGTAAGAAAAATGTTTACTTTATTCATGGCCGTAAACTTTCTACTGATAAGAGCGAGTCCTTAATCCACCATCAATCGGTTCTTGTTGGTTTTTGTAATAAGATGGATAATAAAAAAAAAAAAAAAAAAACGGCGGACTTTGATCAATTAACTTAAAGCAGCTTTCTGGTGACGGATGTTAGCAGAAGTGCTCGTCTCATTGCATTGCCCAAACTCGAAAGTTCTCACGGAGAAATTTCACGCATATTTTTGTTTTTGGTAAATTAATTATTTGAGAAAACCTATTGCGGTCCCTGTCGAAGTGTCTTGTTAAAAGTTTAATTTGAATATCAATGATCAAAAATTGTTTTCACTTCAAATCATTTTCAAGTATTACGAGAATTTTCAGAATTTATTCATCAATGCTTTCAGATTTCTTTCGCTGATTAAAATGTTTTCTCCGTTTTTGTTCATTTTACTAAAAAGTCTAAAGTTTGTTTGAAATTTAACATAAAATATGAAGATAATTAGTTTAACGATCAAAGGTGATCGGATGCCAAGCGACTTCTTAAGCTTATAGTCCTTTTTCTCAACTTTAATTACATTCCACAAGGCTCTTATGGCTAAAACATTCTGCTTGCTTTGCTAAATCCTCAACTCGACAATGGCGGATATCGAACTTCTTGGAGATACGAAAGTCTTTCAACCGTTTCGATTTACTTGAACATCATGTCTGGATATTGAAGATAGTCTTAAAAATTGATTGCTTTTTAACATCTCCTTTATAGCATTTGAAAAAAGGAAATTAAGGAACTTGCGCATAAAAAACATTAAAAAGAACACATTATTGTTTCATATGTTATGCGTCACCTAAACTTAATCTTAAGTCCGCACCTTAAACATAAGCTATTGTCAATAATCAAAAAATAAGGTGAATTTTTCATTTAAAGACCCCGGGTATTGTAAAATAGTGAAACTAGTTTTTGACGGATCAGTCGGTCGGTGAATATTGTCTCTGGCATCTATGTGGAGTTTCATGGCATTCACGCTGCAGTGTTACATTTCCTTCTGTAAACGTAAAAACGTGACTTTGTGTCGAGCAAAGAAATTGCATTAAATTTTGTTTGCAAAATGAATATTCGTCGAGGATGTCGCAAAAGGCGAAACTATGACGCAGAAAGATATTACAAAGACTTCAAAGATACTTGAGAACTTGAGTTCAAGACGAGCAGCGACTATTAACATCAACCGACGGAAAGCATGTCAAGCAAATCAAAGGTTTGCTGCTCTTAAATTATCGACTGACAATCAGAGATCTTGCTGATGGCGGGGGCTTAGTTTGAATTAATCTCAAACCGTTCGGAAAGGAGCTTTGTGCTTTTAACAGACGAAGTCAGCTTTGGTTCGAAGAACAAACAAAACCTCGATCCGTGTAATTCGTCAATGATCGTTTTCGCCTGAGTTAGCATCGCTCGACTTCTGGCTGTTCAACAAACTCAACAAACTGCTCCAGAGACATAGCTTCGACTTGATTGAGAAAGATCGGAGAGAGTATTCAAAGGCATCCAGGCAAAAGACTTACCCGATTGACGTTAGGCTAAGTGCATTAGGTCGGCGGGAGAGTAGTCTGAAGGCGATGAAATTGTTTCCGGCGAATAAATAAAGATATTTTCAAAAGTAAATTCACTTAACTTTTTGTTAACCGTAGTAGCAGTAGTAGACAATAATAATGGGGAGAGCAAAATACAAGGTATTCTCAATTTTAGTGTTAACAAGTTACCAAAAATCAAATGTCAGCCAAGTGATGATTATTTATAATATTAAAATCTTTTTCCCCTTTTAACAAGTGCTTGCTGAACTCATCATTAGAAAACACTGTTCACATAATTACTTTAAAAACATTTCCTCGAAGAATTTTTCTCAATCTAAATGTGAAACTAAAATGCAGTTTTTAATAATTTTTTTTGTTTTGCATTTCACAAAGTAATTATATACTAATCTAATCGCATATTAGCTAAAAAGAATAAAATAAAATAAAATAAAACAAAAAAAAGAGAAAAAAGAAGATGAAGAAAACTAATCTCATTTATATAGCGACGACTATTAAAAAAAAGTGCAATAATAATAAAATATAATAATAATTATAATCCGCAAAGCACATACACACAACGTATGTGTTAGCTGGGCTAGCAGGAGCATGAGCGAGAGAGCGAGAGAGCGAGAGAGAAAAGAAAAGGAAGAGAAAGAAATCATAATAAAAATTTAATAATTGCATAAAATTTTTCATAAAACTTGGAAATTTATGGGATCATGGCAATGAATGAATGAAATGTGCCCAAGCCTGTGTGCATGTGTGTATAAATCCATTATTATATATTCAAGTTTGCGTGCGCACACATCTATCTAGGTATGCATTTATGACCCTTAATTACGCAATGCTCTGGCAAATAATTATCCATCTCGAGTAATGAAGCAAATGTTTAACTAATGAAAAAATTGAAAGCAAAAAAAAAAAAACAAAAAAAACAAGAAAAAAAAATGATTTGAAAATGTAAAATTTTGCAACGTGACTGATGGTTAAACACGCCTTAATACCTTTGCATGCATTGCATTGCGGATATGGTATGACGTGCTTATATGCATACGTATGCACGTATGTGCTGCTACATCTAAGTATTGTTTCAAATATTAAAAAAATGAAAAGGAAAGAAAACAAAGTACCTCCGTCATTAACATTCCCCGAACTATTTTAAAGGTAAAAAAAAGGTGGAGTTATCTAAATATGCATACATGCATATATATATATATATATACACATATATCAATATATCAATATGCATACAAGTCCAGTAAAATATAGTTAGTTAAAAAGACAAGAAGGAAAGAAAAGAAAACGAGAGAGAGGGAGAGAGCGAGAGAGAGTGTGTCTGCATTCAATAGGAAATTGTTTAAAATGCAAGCCATCTTGAAATTAAACCAACAGCAGCCATTTAAAGGCGTTGCCAATGCAGGGTTGTAATCCGCGGCCACAAGAGTAGCAGAGCTGGTAATAAATTTTCTTCACTCTTTCTAACCCATACACCTACGTATATATATATATATATATATAAATATAAGTGTAAAATTCGCTCTTGGAACGTTTGCGAGATAAGGACGTTGTTATCGTATTCGAAAGTGTGCAGCTAACAAATTCATTTGTATTAACACTCGATTCAGTGCGTAGTTGTAGCCAAGTACTCTACTCTACTATGCTACGGTTACGGCATTTAATTCACAAAAACAAAAGAAAAGATACCGATATATAAAAGTTGACAAGCATGCACTGAATCATCTTTAGTTTCAGTGTTTTATTGTACGTTAAACGCTAATAAACGTTTGTGCATCGCCGCAATGAAAACAAAAGATATAACAAGTTAAAAAAAAAAATATATATATACATATATATATGAAGAAACAGTCTCTTCTCTTCTAATGTAAATATTTACGAGTCAAAACAATCAAAATAAAATAATAATAATTTTGCAGCCCTATAACCCCATAAACTTAATCGGTGTAATCGAATTGTTCGCCTACTCTCATCTTTAGCATAACGGGCCGATATTGTAAAGCAATAATAATATATATTCATTATAGTGCCATTGTTTTTGTAAATAACTATTGTGAACTAAATAAAGTGTTTGTTTAATTACTTCTCCCTAACTAAACTAAAGTCCTAAACTGATTTCATTCGAAAGAGAGGATTAAAAGAGAGCGACAGATAGCAAGAGAGAAAGAGAAAGATAGAGAGAGAGAGAGAGGGAGAGAAGCAAGTAAGAAGAATGTGAAAATAAAAGAAAAAACAAAGCGCAGTGGAAAAGAAAATCTATCAGTGATCTAGAAAAAGTTGCAATTTGTGTAAAGAATAAATAGAAATTTTATAAAATAAACCTAATATGTTAAATAAATGATTTTTCTGTCTTTTTTTTTTTATTACTTTTATTTATTTATTTGAGTTAAGCTGAAGCAGCAAAGTGTTCAATGTAAATAATTTAATTTAAAAAAAAAAAAAAAAAAAAAAAAAAATTGGAAAAATAAAAAACTTTTTGGACAAAGTTCATTGTAAAAATTTTAAGTAAATTTCTCAAATTCTCATCATGGTTTCCTACTATCAATATTCGCAAAAACATAATCCCACCAATTTGGCATATCCCGGCCAATGGCAATGGGCCTCCAATTATCATGCACCACCTAATCATCAATACCTGAGTGATATGGAGACCTCGCATGCTGCTCATCATCCGATGTACTATAATCATACAATGTTCCATTCAGCTCCGGTTGCGAATTCCGAATGGCATTCTCCGTCGTCGGTTGAGAATTTCACTCAAAATGCCAGTGCCACGCATCAATTAATGCAACAGCATCATTTGGGAAGTGCTGGCGGTGGGATTGTCAGTGGTGGTGGTTCTGCTAGTTCTCTTAGTTCCGGTAGTATTAGCAGTGCTGCTTCTGCTGGTCCCTCTTCGGCTAATACACAACTTAATGAAACTATTGCTGGGCTCACTGAACAGCAACAGCAGCGGCAGCAGCAACAGCAACAGCAACAACAACAACAACAACAGCAACAGCAGCAATCGCAACATCTTCCCGAAGGTCTACCCTCACCCCCGATTACGGTGAGTGGAAGTGAAATTTCGAGCCCAGGAGCTCCAACCAGCTCATCGTCGCCACATCAAACAGCTGGCCATCAGTTAAACAATAGTCCAACGGTTATTAACAATAACAATAATAATAACAACAGTGCTTTGAACAATAATAATAGTAACAACAATAATAACAATAATAATCGTACGTCACCTATTAAAAATCAGTATTACGACTGGATGAAAAAACCGTCTTATCCATCGCAACCCAAACCTGGTAAGCTTTTTCCTTCTTTCTCTTCTTATTTAATTTTAATGTTACTCTTTATGCCATATGATCATTTTTAATGAACGCGTGATGCTGTAAAGCATAATCTTTGAATCTTTAACTAACTTATGGAAGTCTGGTCAAACGAATTTCTTCAACATCTTCTAATTGTGCGCTACTACGATAAGCAGTGGGCGCTCTTAACGTTTCGTCGGAACATAAAAGAATTTTACGGTGAAAAGACATAGAAGAGACACAACTTGAGATTTGTCAAATTTTCTTTTATTGTTCATAATTAAGACAAACAAAGCGAAGCTTTCAAAGAAACTAACTTTACGTTTTTGTTATAAGAAAAGACACAGACACATACATATATGCACTGGTAAGCGGTTGGTTATGGCTTTTCGCAGCAGCATTTTATTAGATTGTCGATATTTTTATTTATTTATTCTTCAACTCTTTGATGCGCTAATGTCAATACAAAATGATTTTATGAACATCATTAGCCTCACTCGTGCTGCATATCTGTCTCTTTAGAGCCATAAAGTTTAGAATTCCAAACATTTATTACTTCAAAGACAAAACGAAGCGAAGCTACAAATCATTTTAAATCAAACACGCAATCGACCCAAAAACTTGTCTTAGACAAAAAAACTTTTCTTCAAGTGAAGTTCACTGATTTTTTAATCAATTGCTGTCTCGCTCCAATCAACTGCTATTTATTAACGGAGTCCAAGGTATCCATCCATGCGAAACATGCAATCGGAGATATCTGTTACTTTCTAATATTAAAAAAAAAGAATTCGAATCTTTTGCGTTTCATTCTTCAGAGAGATCGTCCACTAGTTAATCCGCATGATGCGATGTGTGCTCGATGCTCTGTCTGCTGTTGGAATTTTCGAGTTATTAAAATTGAAGATGAAATTTTCGCTTTAATAAGCCAAATCTTCCAGATCCGAATTGGAGAGCTAATAAATATTGGTTACGAATGGTGTGTAGTTGGCAAGGCTTATGTTAGTTTTTCAGATATTACGGGAAAATAATCTTCAGAAAAAATGATAAACTTCTCATAATGGGAAGAGATTGGTGTTTAAAAGTTCTGCGCATGTTGTTGTTATTGGCTAATGGTGACATCCTTTCGCTAAAGCAAGTTAATAGGAAAACCAGAGATAAGGGATTTATTATGCAGACTATTGCAGACTACAAAAAGAATTTTTCAGAATTAATGCCGTACATATATCTCCCACTCTTTCCGTAATGCGCGTAGCAAATGAAAAGATAAAATTAGTTGACCTTTATTTTTGGATAGTGAATGGAAAAACGAAATGAATTTTTTTTTTTTTTTTGTATTCTTTCGGTCCTTTTAATAGCGAATTTGCTATCAATGCAAATTGCCTCCATGCGTATGAGTTCAAGGCGAAGAGTAGAGTAAGTTTTCAGTGCGAATTATAACAATTGCTTAATTAATGTCGATACCACCATGGTTTATCTTTATGGCTTTTAAAACTTGGTTGGAATTGATGAAAATTTTGCTTTGCCACACAACGGGAGGGCAGGACAATCGAAACGATTTTTTAATTGAATTCCCTTTCTTAAAACCTTTTCGTGTTGCATGTTTGCTCATTCTTCTTAAAAGCTTTACTTTAATGTATGTAAATACTAGTATGAAGATCCACTCCATAAATATATATGCATTTATATAGAAACAAAAGGAAAACACACATGTACGTGCACCCGCAGTCGGTAATCTAGGTGAACGTATTATAGATTTTTCCGCCGTTTTACAAAAACAAATGTAGTGTCACTTAAACAATCGGAACTTGTGAACTGATGATCGGCAGCTTATTCCGAAATTTTCACATATTTACTTTGAAGGCTGGTTAATTGCAGTGATGTCTATATATCATTCTATGAACTTATTGAGGGCCTTAACGGTCTTTCTCCATCGCAGAGTCATTACAACGTCGTCAGTATCCGATAATAACTTCAAAAAATTCTTTCGAATGTCTACTGACAGTCTACCGTCGTCAAATCTCGCCCATACAATGTCCACAAGCTCAACCGGGTGTTATCAAATACAAATCGGCACACAGCGGAATACTGTTATCATATCGCGACGAAGGTGTTCGCGCTTTATATAAAAGTTTTGTTGCTAAAATTATGCGTCTAGTCTCTGGTGGTGCTATACCGCTGTTGGTTTTTAAATTCATTTTGAATGTAATGAAGAAGAAGCATTTATAGTAATTATTTTTATATGCACATGTGTACACATAATTCTATCTCATACCAGGAGAGGCAAAAGTTATCTTTCAACTTAGGCCTGGCAGCGAGAACTGCCAGATTTTGCTCGGTGTGGAGTCTCATTGTCTGACCCAAAAGACAGACAGAGATTTTAGATAGGTATCGCCGCCACCAGGGGAAGGCGAAACGTTGTCATAATTGTCCCCATTGGCACTCGGCACGGGGATTAATCGCGTGTACGTTTTCAAAGTTCGTATACCGTCGGACGCCGTGGAGTTAAGCCTTCACGATAGTGCGTCCACGTAAAACACCTAGAGACATCTGTACAAGTGCCTGTGTGGGTCTATTTTTTTGTTATGATGCTAGCCCGTACCGGTAGCATGCATCCTTGGCGCTTATATACTCAAACGATACCCCACAAACACGTACACTTTTTCCACCACTCTCATCTTGTATGTGTGTGTCTTATAAATATATGTATGTATTTACATGCATTAATGTATACATATTTACATATATTTCTAGTTGTTACAAAATGTGCCCTGTTGATATTCAATATACGTATCATGTTCAGGTAAACAAATGTGCGTCCTTACGCATGCGTATACGTATGCTTAATGAGCTATAAATAATATCTGATGAATGGCAATTAACATTTATTGGTGGTTTTACGGTCAATATTGTTATTGTTGAGGTGCTATGCACAGCAAAAAAAAAGCAAAACAAAACCAAGTCAAAGGAAAAAAAGTAAATTTAAATAATTTTCCTATTCACAAGTGCATTATATAAAGACGAAAATAATTAAATAATTATTATTATTAATGCTTATGTGCCGAAGTGGTTAACTATAAGACATTTCCGCTAAAGGTGTTACTATTTTTTTCCACCCTCTTTATGATTATATTAATAAAAATTTCCAACTTATCGACTTCTTTTTCTTCGCTTACCAATTTTTTAGTTTCAAAACACGTTAAACTTTTTACCTTTAATTACATGCATTATTTTTCTATTCTTTGCTTTTAGAATGGAAAAAATATTCATATACAAAAGTATGCTGCTATGTTTTAACATGTTGTTGTTGTTGTTGTTATTGCCGTAATAAGCTTAGCAAAGTTCACTTTTGGGTTTGCATTGAAAACAAAAAGAAATTTCGGACGATAATGGACGATAACAGTATCGATATCCTAAGCATTTCGTGTTTCACAATCAAATTCGCAACGAAAGAAAGGCTGGAATTATTTCTCAATGAAAACCCAAAACATTAGACATTAACGAGCATTTGACATTTTATTCATTCAATTTTTTGATCATTCGACTATAATAGCATTATGTAATAATTGATACGGCTAATAAGTTCGACGTATCTTGGCTAAGCAAGTTAGGTAAATGCATATAAAGTAAATATAAAAATCACGAAGATTTTTCATAATTTATATACCGTCGCGCATTCAAATCGAAACATTTAGTTTGATGCAAAAAAATGCAAAAGTTTAAAATTGAAATATTGTGGAGCATCAGCTTGCAAGCAGGTAAACCCTTTAACAAGAATTTCTCATAATTTAAACGATGATCGCTCAAACAATTATATGTCCTACTGATCGGTAAACTGTTCGCAAATGAAAATCCGTGAATTTTTCCTATTCAATCGGTGAATAATCAAATGACGGACTTCGCTTAGTATCCATCCTAAGGTGGCAACATCGCATCTCCCTCATTTTGTTATTCGAGCTTCTTTTAATGCGTTACACAAATATGATCGCAATTTTTGTCGATGCGCTATTTGAATCCAGCTATGATCCGTACACGGACTCTGCTACAGAATAGAATTTATAAAATTTACGAGAAATATTTCTATGTTATACAAGCCAAGTACACCTCTTGTAGTGCGTGCAAGAAAGAGCCACGAAGTTGGAATTATACTGAAAAGAGTCACACATATACTTACTCATATCTATATATATATATATATATGTACATATATAAATAGACAGATAGATATCAACGCAATTGATAAAAACTAATAATGTGAATGTATGTGTTTGGCCATTTTCCTGTCATTGCTTAAACCAAACCATCGCTTATCTTAAATAAATCGTTTATTTAAACATTTGTAAAATATCGAACAATTGCAAACATTTGCGCAAAGCTATATATACATATATATACACACACACATCCATACATACACTTTAGGTAACACAAAAGCAAACAAATATGGAGTTGTTCTTGTGTGTATGTGACAAAGATTAAATAAAAATTATTTATGTGTGTGCGTGATGTGTCAGTATGTTGTTTAAATATATATATATATATATATATATATATATATCAATAGCACTGAAGGGTAGTTTTCAATCGTTATATGTAGTGTGTGGAATTGTCTTCTAACGTATGTAGTTTAACATAAAAATTCCTTCAGTTGAAATGACATGTGATAGGGTGTCATTAAAATTGACATATAATGTTTCGTGCTACACATATAATGTTTCGTGCTACACATATATATATATGTATGTATATGTAAAGAGAGATACGTAACTATGCATACCTACAAAAATTTTATAAGAAAACGAAAGAACTGTCAAAAAATATAATTTATTACTGTTTTTGATGTTTGTGTAAAAAATCAATTTTTTTGATTTGATTATATTTCAATGATTTGTCGCTTTGGGATTAAAAATAAAACTTTTTTATAATTAATCGTTTTCTTTTCCTTTTTTTTATACATATTTAATTTATTGATATGCTTTATTCACTTATAAAGAACA